GGTGACTTCAAAAGAGACCCAAAGCCAGCTCTGGAGATACCATGGGGCTATTTGTAAGTGGAAAACCGTCTCGTTCCCATCCCCCCCATGCTAAGCCCCTCATCATCTGGTTGGCCTGAATCTAAGAGTAGTGAGTCTCCCAGCTAACGGGTGACTCATCATGTCATTTAAGTTTGTCAGTCAATGGAAACCAGAGCTCCAAAGTCTCTCTCCAGGACTATCCCTGGGGAAGCTATTAGTGAGAAGGCAGCCTTGCCAGAAGTCTCAGGCCAGCTGTGGCCTAACTGGCATGTGCAGGGGCATCTGCTTATACTCAGGGCCTGGCATGAGGAGAGGGCCCTGGAAGAGCACTCTAGAAAACTCTCAGTTTTCCTACCATCAGCTACTAACAAAGCCACAAGGAAACCAATGAGCACCTGGAAACATAAACAGGTAAAAAGACCCTTAACTTTCCCACCTAAAACAGGTATGGGTTTGCTCTGGGCCTAGTGGGCCACATCCTGGAGTAGAATGCATATGGCATTCGGAGACAGAAAACTTGGATTCCCATCCCAAGCTGAACTTAGTTATATGAACTTGAAGTTTTCAATAATTTGACAGTTTCTTCATCTGTAAAATGGAAACAGACAAGGCTGATTTTGCTCTGATTTACCCACGGGTGGCAATAAAGCAGAAGAAAGCAATTTGTGAGATAAAGAAAATGTCAGGTAACTTTTTTTTTTTTTGCTCTCAAGTGTTTATTTCTAGTCACAAACCTCTCCCCCAAGTTCCAAGCACACATTCCCACCTATCTATTCCATGGGTCTTACCAAATGGCTAACAGGTGTGTGAAGACAACCACTCAGCCCTTCAGGCCACCGGAATGATGCCTGGCATGACCAGAGACCCTGGCAGGCTGCCCCCAGCTGCAGAGGCCTCTTCCTGGGTGCTAAACACGACTTCACAGGAAATTTCCAAGTAATTATCTACCTGGCCCTCCAACTGATTTTATCAAATAGCAAATATATGTGCTTTCTTCCAAAGACCACTCCTCCTGGCTTCCCTCTTCTGTCAGTGACGGTAATGTTCAAGGGTCCATGCTTAATGTTCAAGGCTTAACGCAAAGCCCTCACCTTTGACATTTCTCTCCACTTCTCCCCCTTCCCTTTCATGTCCTCTTCAACACCATTTTTCTTTTCCTTCTCACATCTCCATGTCTCACAGAACCAGGCGTAAAACAGAGACCAGTCATACGAACTTAAGGAACTTCCCTCACCAGGCTGACACTTGCTATCCTCATCGATGTAATGAGAATATGGAGGGTGCAGATTTGCGATTAAGTTTGCCAAACGCATGGCACATGTTGGCCAAGTTCTGCCTTCTAGCTAACCTGGCTGCCTCAGTGATGTCCAATATCACCCAGCCTCTCCCCAAACCTACCTCCTCTCTTCAGCCCTGTTCTTCACTTTGCTTGCACTATCCTCTTCCTCTTTCCCATTTCTGTCTACCAAGCTTGTATGCCTCCTCCTCAGACCATCCTTCAAGCGCTATGCGTCTCTGGCATCCAGGAGTGGTGCCTACTTCCTCTAACCCATAAATGCCAGCCTTTGTTTCTACAACCCACGAGACACTTGACATCACTACTGTGCCCTCTGCTTTGGGACGCGTCCTCTCCTCTCATAAAATTTCATGTTTATTTTGTCTACATGTGCCGCTTACTTAATAAATCACTCTTAAGTGACCAAAAGGAATCCATCAATCAATTAACTGATGACGACGTCTGGACTGGCCCAAGCGAATGGGAAGCGATTTGGAAGTGGTGGTTGATTTGAACAAAGAATAAGACACCAAAGACAGTTCACATTTTCTGTGCTGATTTTTTAATGAACATCTTATAATCTTACAAAATAACTGGCTGTAGCTGTTTTACATTACAATACAGTAGATCAGCTCCTTTCATTGTGTTCCCAAACAAGCCATCCCCTTGGGGTGCTAACTAACGCACTCAATAGTGATCTCACAGAGTATAGAGCAAATGCCAAGTGCAATGCCTTGTGATGGAGGGAAGCAAAGGAGACAATCAAGATAACTCTTCCCTTTCATGTACAGTTTTGCCAGCTGCCCATCTGTCTTCACTCTGTCCTCTCATCTCTCTGGTTGGAGACTGTCACACGAACCACCAGAGTCAGCCTAGTCCTGGGCAACCTTGACACCAGAGCCCCTAGTTACTAGGAAAAAAAGAAGCAGAGAAGTGACTTTGGAACATAGAAGGGCCTTTGGGAGAGGTCCTCCGTTACCCCGTGGTTGGGTGAGAGCAGCCAAGTGCAGACCACCACATGGAGTGTGAGTTGATATCTCCCGGAGTTCTATGACCACGGTGGCTCAGTCCTTCCACTTTATTAGTGACATGAGGGCTCAACACATTAGGGTCCAGGGACAAGGGCTGGAAGAGCCTGCCATCTCTGAATGGCCATCGCTGAGTAGCGCCGGGCAGCCTTTAGCCAGAAGGGCTTTCCAGACACCACAGGAACTGCCCTCTCACCTTCCCAGGGTGGTGGTGCATTGCAGATGTCGCCAGTGGAGAATAAAAGATTTGTAAATGAAGTATGACAGAGAAGTGTGCTCACTGTTCCCCCTGTGGAGAGACTGAGCACAGACCCACACTGGCGTGAACCGCAGGCTCACATCCTCGTGGGGGGCTGTAGCCTTCCTGAGCTGGGCAATGCCCAACATACCTATTCTGTTGCCTCAATCTCAAAGCAGCATTCGCTGACACAAAGCTTCATGCACTTCCAAGAATTTGGATATTCTCCCCAAGAAAACAATTGTACGACTTTGTAAAAAATGGAGGATCTAAACTTTTTCATCGTCCTTTCCATATCGAAGCCTACTACAATCCCAGAAGTATTTATTCTCTTCTTGGGGTACTAAATATGAATCCAAAGAACGGTAGGTGCCTAGGGTTCCATTGGGGCTAAAAACATAGAGGACAAGGGCTTTTTGGATGGGCAATCTGCTCTTTCCTTTCCCCAGTGATGATGCCACCCTCATTTTATATCCCTGGAGATAAATTTTTTTTTCCCATTCCAGAACATTTTCCTTCCCACGTGAAGTCTGGCTCAAGATAGCGGTAAGTAACATTTCCTCTTCCTATTTGCAAAGCCGTTGCTCCAGTGTTGGTGGGAAAAGTGGAGGACTTGTGGTCAGAGCCAAGGAGCAGATGATTCAGAAACCAAGGTTGCACGCTAATTTGGCCTGTTATTTGCTTCCATTGGAGAAGTAGCTTTGAGGGAAGCAAGACTCCCAGCCCTTCTTGAGATGACAAACTGAAGTGTTGAGCAAGAAGTTAACGCTCTTTCCCCAAAGGCCTAATCCAGAAATTGTTACCAAAAACAACTGCAATACACCATGAGCAAGAAGAGTAAGCCTGGGACGTGAATGCAGGCAGGTTAACACGGTGGTCATTTTACCTACAGTCCATCTATTGAACAAGAGAGGATAATGGCAACAAAATGGACCCTAAATAGTTGAAATTCTTCTCTTTTCCCACAGAGTGTCACCCTTGCTCCACGTGTTTCCAAAGCTTGCTCAAATGAAAAGCTCTAGGTCACAGATCTGATATGTTGCACTCGAATAGAATTTACCTCAGATTCCACATTGCTTGACGGATTCCCCTCTGATCTGTTTTGGAGACTTGGAACAAGGCTGAATCTCTGACTTGTTTCACCCTCCTGCCCGAGGCCATGATTTTCCCATGGCCTCTCCCACCACCACGGCCTCCCTAGGCTCCTCCATTTCTGCCCGTTCTTCCACCTCCTCCCACTTTCCCCCATGTCATGTCCGTGACATTTTTTTTTCCTCCAGAACATCAACATTGGTCATGTGTCTGTGAATGATGGCCAGGCTTGGGGACTTAGAAGGAGTGAGACCACAGGCCGAGCATGAGGAATGTGTGAGTTCCTGTAGTCCTGGCAATCCCAGCCCTCGTACAAATTTGTTGACTGACTAGTAAGAGCCACACTTGAAAGTGTAGAGAATCCTGGGTCTCGTCAACTCCAAACAAGAGTTCTGAGAAGTGAAAAGTAGTGAATACAGCCTTTTTCGATAGATACACAAGAACCACACTCTGGTTCTCCTGGGCCTAGTGCTAATGGGTACTCCCACCCAACTTGCCATCTCTTAATGTTATCGTCCCCGTCCTCCACCTCCTCAAATGGGGTCCAGCTTCCTGCTCCTGAAAAGGTAAATTAGCTGACAGGTATCAAGAACGCCACCTAATTTCTCTCTCTCTCCTTCTCCACTTCCCTTTCACCCTGCCAATTCTCATCAATAGAACGATGGCAGAGGAACTTGTCTTTCTGTCCTCAAATCCTCAGTATTCATTTTGGATGTGAACTTCACAGCAGCATGTGTGGAACAATGTATACTTTTTAGCTTAGTAGACAGCAAAAAATATAATATATATAATATATTTATATAATTATGTTTAAATACTTATAAAGAATTAATAACTAACCTCATCATTACTAAGGGAGACTACACAAAAGAAAGGGAGCCAGTTTAGAGCAGAAGAGCCCTGAAAGATGGCAATCCATTCAAAACGGGTGTTACAGAGTGTCCCTGGCAACTTCTCTTCTAGTATTTTGGTACTGGTTTGCAAGTTGGGTGGGGCTGAATAGTTGGCAGGGTGCAGAGTGGGGAGCAGGGCAAGAGGCGGGGATGGGGTTGAATAGAATATAAATGGGGGATGAGGGTCCGTGTATATCTATCATATTTCTCCTTCCACTTTTAATCAACTGCCCCCTTGAAGAAACTTTTGCCCATGATTCTTCCCTACTTGGGCTTCTTGATGCAATAGTCGGCACCTAGAAACATCCTCCTGCATTCTACGAGATCCTCATGCTCTTCCTCCTTCCTTCATTTCGTGACCTTTCTTCTCTGTTCACCTTTTGTGCCCTTTTGTGGAGGCCTCTCTTTCTTACTGCCTCCAGGGCAGTAGAAGGAGGGGCTTGATCCCACAGTTACTGATTTTCTTCAGCCTTGGGGTCCCGGCAGGTGCATTCATCCAGGTCACAGTCAGCAGCAAATGGAATGACCTAGTGGAAATCAAAGAGAAGTTGAAATAACCCACGTTCGTGCCAAGCTCCATACTTTTCAACCGGCTTTTGCTTTTCTCACGTGGTCCCAGGGGAAGTGTGGGATTACTGTTAATATCACAGAAGTGAAATTAACACTCAGTTCTGTCACTTACACATCATGTCTCTTTGGGCAAGGCAAATCTTCCTCGCTTCACTTTTATGTGTGTGGAAGGACAACAGTAACCACTCCAGGGGTGTTGGTGTGACTTAAATAAAATGATGGATATAAAACACACATTTCCCGGCACCTACACCACCTGTTACTACTGCTTCTAATATTAAAACTAATGTCAAAACCTTCTGTTAATGTTTTTGTTGCTATTGCTCTCTTCACAAAATCCCTGTGAGTAGGTAAGATGAATGTTGGCATTTTCTTTTTACACGGAAGGCCAAGAGAGGTTGGATAACTTAAGGTCACACTACCATCCAGAAAACTAAGAAATCTACAGCCTAGTTCTATGACTTCTACTTCTTAGTATTCTTGGAGCCATAAGATCATCTTTGCTGTCTTTTTAAAAATTTTTTTTAATGTTTTTATTTATTTTTGAAGGAGAGAGAGAGAGAGAGAGAGAGACAGAGCATGAGCAGGGGAGGACCAGAGAGAGAGGGAGACACAGAATCCGAAGCAGGCTCCAGGCTCCGAACTGTCAGCACAGAGCACGACGCGGGGCTCGAACCCACGAACCATGAGATCATGACCTGAGCCGAAGCCGGACACTCAGCCGACTGAACCACCCAGGCGCCCCAATCTTTGCTGTCTTCATGAGCATGAGAGTCTGCCCATCTTGAACCCAGGATATACTTTGGCTTGGTGAGACAACGCATCTCTCTACCCATTGTGGCTGGACTGCCTCCCTGCTATGTAATTGTCTCCGCTCCATGTCAAAATAATCCAGCAAAAGTTCCTCTCTACCAGCTTGCATTGCCACCAACACACTTTTTGAGTGTATGTTAACTAGCTTCTGAGAAAACGGGGCATCTTGGGAGACCTGATGTAAAAAGTGGCAAGGATTCTAACCTTTGGGCATGGAAAATCAAGTGAGGTAAAAAATAGATGGACGTATCATATACTAGTCCAGGTTCACCGAAGAGAAACAGGGATAAAAGAGAAACTGAGAAAAAGACTCCTGCTCAGGATCGGTCTAGGGAGTCCTGCAAGCAGCCTGTGGTGGCCACTCAACATACATTTGAGATATGGTTATACTGCACTATACAGGATTATCAATGTAATTACAATTTATTAATTACAAGCCAACTTAATTAAATTAATTAATTAAACTACTAGCAACTGGATATCACTTCACTGGTGGTCTTGCCTCTCCAGGGGGGGTAGAGGCCATGATTCCCTGCCAACAGAAGTGTATCCCAGACAATTATAAGCAGATGTGAGTCTTTGAGTAGCAAAGCCATAGGTTTTTTGAAGGTGCTCCTTAAAGAATTAGCGTTTTCTAACAACCTCACCTAAAATCACTGCCCTTCACCCTGCCACCATAGAAGCTTCAATGTTTTCTCACGATCATTCCTTCTTGAGTGTTGAACAAGCACCAATTATGGTACAGAAGGAAGGAGAACCAGCCAAAGCCCCTGCGCTGATTCCTGGAGCCCCTGCCCAGCCTGTTACCCGCAGGCGGGTTCACGTACCTTCTTGGAGGACAGAGTAGAAGAGCAGCAGTCTCCCCCATCATAGTGGCAGTAGGCCCGGTTGTTGATGGTATCGCACCACCCATCAGCTTGGAAAGGCTGGTGAAGACATGAGAGGTCAGTGTCTAAGAACAGCTTTGCTGGCCTTTGCCCAGCTCTCCCACCCATCCTCACCCCACCATAATCCGTGGAACTCCAGGGATATTATGGGAGAACACCCAAAGGACAGGATACAAACTGACCCAACGTTCTCAAGAAGCTGAAAAGTCCCAAGACCATTAGACCCAAGGGTCTGTTAAATTTTACTCTCAACAACTCTGCTTCTCACCAGCTCTAGGATCCAGAATGGTTCATCTAAACTCCTTGGTCAGCTTTTTCACCCTCATGTAGTCACAGGTCTTTGTGTCAAGTAGGCTACGGAACATTCTCACACATTTTAACTCTGTGGAAAAGCCTGTGCAGCTGGCCAGGTTGGCTTTAGAATTCCCATTTGATCAGTGAGGAAACGGAGATGCACAGAGATGACAAAAATTGCCCTGATTTGGATAGTTAGGGTCAAGCCGGCTTTGGATTACAAGTCACGCATCTTGACTTTCTGTTCCTTCTCCCAGATTAAGAACCATAACTACCACCCCTTTGCTGCCACTTGTGTTTAAAGAGCCTGGTGGTCCTGAGGTGCTGTGAATACCCAAATGATGTCTGTCCAGAATGCAGGGGTCCTGGGGCTTGGGACACTAGCGCTAGAACATGAATCATCTCACATGTACAGCTACCTAAAGCACAGCAGCTAGACACAGAGCAGAGAGAGCTGAAGTGTTTCCATTCATTCCTGTTACTGCTACAAGTGAACAGAAACCAAAATGGGAAACGGGCCCAGGCCAAACCAGAGTTAATGGAGTGTTTCTCCCCAAAAGGGAATGTATGATAAGAACAGCAATAAGCGGTTAAAATAAAAGCTCAGAAGCCCAATGCGCCGTTTCCCTAGAACTCCTCCTGGAGAAAAACAGTGTCCCACAGCATCCTGGAGGGCATGCCAGCCAGCCCACCTACTCAATCGCATTGGCTGCTTCCCATCCTGAGTGGATGCCCAATTGCAAAGCCTCAGGAAACATCTTGTGGTCAAACTCTTTGTACCACAAGACAGTCAGTAGACTTTTGAGTTCTTAGGTCGCCTTCCAGTTTACATGTTTAAATCACTTTCTCTCCCCCAACCCTCCTTAAATGTCAAATAGACGGACTGTTCCCTATTTCACTGGGCTTTGATGAGACAGATCACTAAACTGGGGGGAAAAAAAGGCCATTAAATGATTTTCAGCAATTGAATTACATCAGAAGGAGCTCATCCAAATTATTACTTCAATGTTTTGATTTATTCTATGGGGTCCTGAGGTCATTTGAACATCATTCCAGAAGTATACCAGTTTGCCAATCACTGAAAAGTTGCTACTTGTGGCGTGGAACTCAACAGCTGTTGCACAGCTGTCCAGCAATGTCGGTTGAGAGCAGGAAGTCAAAATGAATTCTGTTTTCAACACGGGCCTCACTGGGATAAAGACAAAGGTTTTGAGGTGAGCGTTTGTCTTTAACACTAGAACCAGTCACTCTGGCTCTGCAGAACTTGGGATAACTACACAATCAGGACTTGGGTCTACAACTGCAGCCCTATAAAAGGAGTCAACGTACAGCCACCTGCATCCTTAACGTCTCTAAATGCTCTTGGGTCCTCCCAGGAGGATCAGATACATCTACTGAGATTCCCCCAGAGTTTTCTTTTTCTTTTTCAAGTGTTGGGAGTGTATTTTCCTCATCTAACACCGCATCTGTTACTTTTTTTTCCAACCCTGACTGACTCATTGGCAAAACTTAATCTGTTCCTCCTTTATTTTTCATCTTATTGTCTATAAAAATCCAAAGGACACCCAAAATACTTTTTTTTTTTTTTTTTACGTATAAAGTATGGTCTTCAGTATGGAGGATTAGAGGGAGAGCTTTCTTTTCGTAAGAACAACTTAAACATAAGAATGAATTAATAAAGGATCCAGGGAGATCTTCCTTTCCAAAGTCTTCCCCAAGGATGGCTTCTTATCTTAGGAACACTAGGGAAGACAGGGTGAAGAGAGTAGAAATGGTCTAGGTGACCTTCTCTACCTCCTGATGGATGTCCACTGCTATAGCCTGAACATGATTTCTAGAAACTGCTTCTTTGCTGCTCTCAAAGGGTCATCAGGGAAGAAAAGGGAATTTATTAAAAGGAGCAGAAAATTGGAGGAAAGGTTAGAAAGACCCAAGTATTTAATTCACTATATACCTATTAGAATTAATTGTTCCTCCCCCAACCTGCCAAAAACAACTGCTCCACCCTAAACAAACAGAGTCTCCAATGGCAACATGTGCCTGGGAAGCTTGACAGCTTGAGTCCAAAGTTACAATGGAAAAATTAGGAAGGGAAAAATGACTAATTGATTCAAAGTTTTTAAAGCATCTGAAGACTGCATATAGATTAGATCAAAATCTCAATAATGGAAAGGTGTCAGACTTGCCACAGGAAACTTTCCCCAAGGAAGGGCACAAGGCTTGGTTTCTCTGCACAACGTGTCCATAGGTGAATCGTCACTACCCATACCTACACCTCATTTATCCTGTAACATCAGAAAACAAAGTGCTTCACATTAAGTGGATTTTTCAAATACCTGAAGACTATTTCTTCAGGAGACACTTTTTCATTTTCATTTTAACCATTTTGGCAAAAGAAAAAAAACTATAAAATTCCTCTTATCATGCCTTTTAATAACTTGGATAGAACACAAATTCATCCGCACGAACATTTTTCATTTCCATTTATGGGAAGGCTTTCTGTATGGGGACACTTGTCCCTTCACTAGATGAGCCCCCTCCAACACACACACACACACACACACACACACACACACACACACACACTTCATAAGTCAAGCTTCTTAGAATTATACCTGAAGTAAGTACCTAGATCTGAGACAGAGGCGTGGTTGTTCTTTTTATGATCCAGGAGCTTGATGTTATCTATGGTCAGCTAGCTGTTGCTCTGGTCAGATGAGGCGGCCATATAAATGGCTGTGTGTGAATGACGAAATATAAGGAGGAAGGGCTATCAGTCTCTATGACCATGTGACTATGGAAACTGTACAACTTTGGAAACTTCTCAAAAGTAAAGATAACTTCTTCTTTATATTATGTCATCTACATTCTTTATGTTGTATTATTTTCTGATTAAGGTTGTTCTGGAAAACTAGGCATGGGGATGGTGGCCCTATCTAGTCATTCATCCATTCATTCAACATCCTTTATTCCTTACCTCTATGTGCCAGGCATTGTTAAGGGGATACAAAGATAAATAAAACATGGTTGCGACCCTGGAGAGAACCCACTGCAAACAAGCATAGCTTATGATGATGAGTGTGGCATAGGGGTGTGGACAGGAGAGAAAAGTACCGAATCCAGATTTTGGTGGTAGGGATCTGTAAGAACTTTCGGGGGCTGGCTCTGCTACATCTAGCCCCTGGGGAGGAGAGGTTAGGACTGGATGATTCGGAGGGGATGCCTGAGGGAACTGAGTAAGGGAAAAAAGAGGGTGAAAATAGAGAGACAGGTGGTCTCAGACTGCCTATCACAGGGCCCGCCCTGAGGAATGGTTCCATGAACATCAACTGATTGGCTGATAATACCTCTATTACTTGAATGACATTAAGAGCATTTTTCTTCTATAGCTTGCAGCAGAACTCATGACCACAGTGATGTTTTAGAATGGTTAGCGTTGAACTTTAGATGTTCTGCTCTGCTAACCTACAGGCTGGGATCTCAGCCACAAGTGACTATATCCCTAGAGGTAAGGCATGAGACAAAATCCTGATTTGCCATCTTTTAAAAAAAATATGTACTTATTTATTTTGAGAGAGAGAGAGCACAAGCAGGGGAGGGGCAGAGAGAGAGAGGGCTCCGTGTTGTCAGCACAGAGCCCGATGTGGGGCTCGAACTCATGAACCATGAGATCGTGACCCAAGCTGAAACCAAGAGTTGGATACTTAACCGACTCAGCCAGCCAGGCACCCCCTGATTTACCATCTTGAGGAGTGTTTCAGACCAGGAGAAGCTGCTAATACCATTTATGCCTAATGTTTAACACTGTTTTCTTTCTCCCACACCATTTCCCACCAAAACCCTCTAGGTATGTGAAGGACAAATCAGACCCACATCCGTTTCTTCATATTGATGAGGCTGCCTCAGGCCCCAAAGAAGCCCCTCGCCAGGGACACTATGTTGCCGTGCCGCACACAGTCCTGGCGGTAGATAAAGCCTCTTGTGAATACGTACAAGAACGTGTGCTAATTTTCTCTTTTTCTCTGGCTTTCCAGTGAGTGCTTGGCCCGATTCTCCGGCCTGATTCTGATTCTTCTTTCATCCCAAAGATCTGCCTGCTGTGTCCATACTCCCTGGGCTTCACTGCAAGGCCACTCTTCGAATTTCACAGGCAAAACCTGTGAGGCCTTTGAGGCCCCTCAAGGAGCCTTGGTGACCAGAACACTACTTGCTTTTTGTTTTTCTTTGAAAGGATCACAGATACATGAAATTCTATGGTTGGATGGAGCCTTGAAGACTGTTTAGTACAAAACTCTTATATTACAAATGATAAAATGGATGCTTAAAAAAAAAAAAAGAAATGTCTTGTTTGTCAGGCTAGTGGGTGGCCATTCTGCGAGTGAGGAGGAAATCTCTGGATCCTTGATCTGATGTTCTCTCTACTATACCATGCTACCGCTATCTGATGAAATCATCGATCTTTGAATTTATGGGGAATGCTGGGTAATTTAATTCCTTTGGCACCTCTATAAGAAATGGCTTAGGTACAGCACTAACAACGAAGTGAACCCAACAATCCACTACAGAAACAAAAAAGGACTGTTTATATGTATCATCTCAATTCCCCTGAACCCCAACAACTTCCCTTCTTATTTTCCCAGCTGCAGGTCGAAATATGTCCCCAATAAGCGACCAGGCGCGATCACTGCTTCTGGCCTCGGGGCTTGGTCAGTGCATATTTCCCTAGAGGCTGATTTCCCCAGGAG